ACTGTGTATGACCATGTGTGTGTGACTGTGTGTATGGTTGTGTTGTGTGACTGTGACTATGTGACTGTGTGTATGACTATGGCTGTGTGTGTATGATTGTATGTGTGACTGTGTGTGTGTATGATTGTGTGTGACTGTGACTGTGTGCGACTATGTGACTGTGTGTATAATTGTGTGTGGCTGTGTGTGTATAATTGTGTGTGACTGTGACTGTGTGTGTGACTGTGACTGTGTGGCTGTGTGTGTATGATTGTGTGTGTGACTGTGACTGTGTGACTGTGTGTGTATGATTGTGTGTGACTGTGACTGTGTGTGTATGATTGTGTGTGTGACTATGACTATGTGACTGTGTGTGATATGACTGTGTGTGATATGTGACTGTGTGTGACGACTGTGTGACTGTGTGTATATGATTGTGTGTGACTATGCCTGTGTGACTATGTGTGTATGATTGTGTGTGTGACTGTGACTGTGTGTGTATAATTGTGTGTGACTATGACTATGTGACTGTGTGTGACTATGACTGTGTGGCTGTGTGTGACTATGTGACTGTGTGTATGACTATGACTGTGTGGCTGTGTGTGTATGATTGTGTTGTATGACTGTGACTGTGGGTGACTGTGACTGTGACTGTGTGTATGATTGTGTGTGTGACTGTGACTGTTGACTTTGTGTGTGTGACTGTGACTATGTGACTGTGTGTGATGTGTGACTGTGTGTGACTACGACTGTGTGACTGTGTGTATATGATTGTGTGTGGCTATGACTGTGTGACTGTGTGTGACTGTGACTGTGTGTGACTATGATTGTGTGACTGTGTGTGTATAATTGTATGGCTGTGACTGTGTGACTATGTGACTGTGTGTGTGACTATGCCTGTATGACTGTGTGTATATGATTGTGTGTGACTATGACTGTGTGACTGTGTGTGTATGATTGTGTGTGTGACTGTGACTGTGTGCGTCTATGTGACTGTGTGTGACTATGATTGTGTGACTGTGTGTGTATAATTATATGGCTGTGACTGTGTAACTATGTGTGTATGATTGTGTGTGTGACTGTGACTGTGCGACTGTGATTGTGTGTGACTATGACTGTGTGACTGTGTGTGTATAATTGTATGACTGTGACTGTGTGTGTATGATTGTATGTGTGACTCTGACTGTGTGCAACTATGTGACTGTGTCGACTAGGCGACTATGTGAGTGTGTGTGTGTGTGTGTGTGCATTGCCCACGCTTTGACTGCTGGGAGGACACCAGGCACAGCTCCCCTTCTCTG